AGCTGTAGCATGACACCTTGGGGCAAATCAGCGTTTTTTGATGGTGGAACTATAAACAACCGAAGTCCAAGTTAACGTAATAGAGGGCGATGAATAGGTCTACGGATCGGCGTATTTCGCAAAAAATCTAGTCCGGACCGGATTACAGGTTCTAAGTAACCTTTTAACGGATTAGCGGATCCTAAAGATACAGCGGATTGCGGATTTATTCCATTTTRTGTTCAGTCGTTGCTTATCACAGAGTTCGGATCGCGGTTCTAAACCTTATTCAGAAATGTTTTATGTTTGTTTTGTCGGCCGAGACAATAAATACAAGGCAATTGTAGAATTATTTGCAGATTCGGAACGACGGATTCGGGTATTACTTTAAACGGATCAACGGAATTGCATCCCTTATTTACACCCCCAGTAATAAGAATTTATCATTTCGCAACATTTTCATTCAAGTAATAATCCGATACGATAAATTATAGATTAAAAACCRTGACGTCTTTAGGGCCCCGATTTAGAGGGGGAGGAGAGGGGCAGGGTAAACGGTACCCAACACCTCTGAGAGTAAAATCCTGAAGTTTTCACTCAAATATTTCCAAAAATAAAAGTCAAATTTCAAAAATAAAAGTTTACTCTCAATTTCCATGCATTAGTGGTAAACAAAATGGAATAAAGAAATAGTCACTACCATCGTCACTACCATCACCCAGTGTGGGGCATTTCAGCTGGTCCCTGAGGGAGAAGGGGGCTTATCGGTACCCAATATACTTTTAAAAAACAAAAAACAAAAAATGGGTCCCTGTAATATTGTTAATTAGGGTATTGTAAACAGGAATTCAATATCTTCCTGTGTACAACCTCATGAGTTTGTAATGACAATACTGTTTTGTTTGGGTGTCCCTGTTTTGTTTGGGTGTCCCTGTTTTGTTTAGGGTGTCCCTGTTTTGTTTGGGTGGCCCTGTTTTGTTTGGGTGGCCCTGTTTTGCTTGGGTGGCCCAGTGATCTGAAAAAGTGATGTAGAAATGACAACACTGCAAAACTGAGGTGTCACAAAAATTGATCAGCAATAAATAAATAGATGCCCATGATCAGGTACCCATAGGTTGGGTGGAGGATTCATGCTGGAAGGGAGAGGAGAGAGGGGAGGGAGGAGAGGGAGGGGAGGTAGGAGGGATAAGGTAGACAAAGGTGCCATTTTCCTAACATCAAATTTAGGCACAATAGCAGATCTATCTGCAAAAAATGAATTTTTATAGAGAAATCCATTTCCTATACCCAATTATCTAAATACCAATCCCTGTGATGAACCTAGGAATACTCCAATACTGGTACTATTTCCCATTTCCAGTGTCATCMTAAATATTATTTACATTATATAAAATCCCAGTATTTCAAATCCCATTAGCTGTCTTACCAAGTACAGTTAGTGMTGCAGATTCTTCTGYTTTCCCAGCCYTGCTGCTTGCRATACATGTATACCTTCCTTCRTATTCTTCAGTATTTTGTATGTTGTCAATCACAAGTTTGTTCCCAGTGTGTTTGGGAGTTGAACTACCGCTGAATCTCCATGATATYRTGGGCTCAGGTACTCCAGTGGCATTACAATAAAAAGATGCTGTTTTCCCTTGTATGACAATCTGGTTTGTCGGTTTGTGTTGGATTTCTGGTTTAACTATCGGATAAATATAAATTAAATATTATGAGAAACAAGAATACGAAAGACTACAGACAAGACTAAATAACTATAAGTTTGTTGCTCCCTTTCACCTTCTAGGGATAATATTAGCGATTCAGACCAAATTTTAACTGGCTGATACGTGGAAATTTAAGATTTTCGTCATTTCACGGTCTCGACGGCTGGCAGAGGCTCCATTTTTAAGACTCTCCTGACAACAGCATGCATCAATCATGGGCTGTAGGAGAATTTTGGGTTTGTGATGAGGAGAATGCTTGTTAGTAGACSGAATAAATCACTAATTACTCACTTGGATCTCTCTGTCCATGTTGTATTGATTGTTACGTAAGTCTCCGATTAATAAACATGAATGAAATGGTCTTTTTCCCGTCCTTTTTCTTCTCCTTTTCCTTCGATAAAAGTCGCCATCTTTGTTATTGATGAGCCCGCAATATCTTATTAGGGAAGACCGCAGAAACGTCATTAACATAGGGAGCCCAGTTTAGT